CTACGAGTCAGCAACATATTTACTATTAACATTCCTAAATTGTAGCACGGAATTTTCAGCGCTTCAACATTGGAAATAGTATAAACATACGTACGAATATGTTATACTTTTTGTAATTATAAAACACGTACTATGAGAACAGATGTTCTTTGTGGTTAAAATAGAGATGATAAAAAAACAAACCGCTTTTCTTTTGCAATGTTGCTCTTTGATCGCTCTGTACGCCGCAACTACGAGCGGGTCACGAATGTACATTATAGATACATATCTAAAAATATAAAGCTTAGGTTTAAAAGTGTTGCAAAATATTCCTTAGAATAATTTCAACGGCCTTTATTACTAACTTTTAATTATGCAGCAGGTGACGTAAATTTATCATTAGAATGCCACCTCGAGTGGCCTATTAAGTGATTTATGTTGAGTAGTGTACTGACTGAGTAGTGACTGTGCCATATCCTTTTAACACTATACCTTTTAAGTTATGGGAGAAATTCGTTCATTCATTAGTTCCGATAATATTAAAAGTGGAAGGGACGAGTTCGTTTGATAATGTTTTCATGGTTGATTGACAATAAAATATATGTAACAAAGTGATTTATTTGTACCAGCCAGTTGAACCAGTTGAATCAGCTTACGGTGGATAACGTCAATCATCATTTAAACTTCAGTAGAGTAAAATACTTGTTATTATTAATTAGTTCTCTATTTTGTATCTTATCTGTATTCTTATTGAATTAATTTTCAATAATTATCTTGGAACTTCGAAATTCCTATTAAGTTAGGTTCTGTCAATCAGAATTCATTGTCATCTATGCATTTTGTTTCCTATGCATATTATATAATGTATAAGCACGTTTAGTAAGCTCATATGTAAGGTAATAAGTTCCTTATTTGAAAAATCTAAACTGCACAGCTGGTAAACTTTCCGTAACACAGCCCGATTATGACTCGACGAAGCATAGAGAGGAGCGCCTTTAATAAGAGCTCTTCGCAAAGTTCTGCTCTGTTTCCTAGCACTGTGACTTTAAACTTAAATGCGCAATTACAGCTTACAAATAATAATATACAATACGACTGGCTAGAATTGGAAACGTCATTTTTACCTAGTTAATTCGCAGAAAGTTTAAAAGTTTTAGGATGTTATACTAAAAATGTTTTCTTTGTCTGTGTCTAATCATCTCTGCGTCGTGAAAAATAACACATACCTAGGTAACACTGAACATTTTTAGAAAATGAAAAACGGCTTAATGTAGAAAGTTGCAATACTTTTATTGTTTTTCGAAGTAATCTCCATTCCTCTCTACACATCGTCGCATTCGATGGAACCACTGAGAAAAGCAGTGGGCCCATTCTTCCTCTCTGCTATGGCATTTTCGTACGCTTTCACCGCATCTTCAAGGCTCGTATAGCGAATACCTCCAATTTTATCTTTAGTTTTGGGTTCGTAGCGTAGTTTGGCGTCGCACAGCACGCTTCAGTAGTCGCTGTTAAAGGACGATCATCGAGATTGCTACGTCCACGCTTAAACTCTAATAAACTGTCATAGCTTTGTTGTTGAGTAAGCCCACAACGAAAGTCATAATAAATCATTGACTGAAAATGTTCTCGCATTAGGTTCATTTTTACGTGTAACAAGAGATTTAAATTTGCCGCAAATTCACAAAAACAAATAACAAATGAATGCAATATACTTCATTAGGTTACCAAAGAGTTCTAAAATTGAAATTCAAAAAAGTTTTCATTAGCTATGTTTCTAACTGGCCAGTTCTTAACATTTTCAGTGTTACCCACGTACTAGATGCCAGACTAGATTTTATTAACGTTTCAGTTCTAAAACACGATTATATAGGAACTAGCAAAGTTTGATATGATATTAACAATTACAACAACTTAATTTTCTTTCTACGTAACTCATATGAAAATTTATTCGCATACAATTAATACTACCATGTTTTTTTGTTTTCATGTACAAACAATATACGTTAAGGCATCGGCTGGCTGATTCTTAAATTTGTATGTATTTTCAACTAAGTCACAAACGAAACTGGTAATATAAATCACCATGGGTGTCGGCCGTGAATCACGAATCGTCATGGAGTGGATTGTAATGGCATCACGACTCACTGCAGCCGTAACCGATCCCGATAATGAGCATCAATACACCGGAATTGAACTCACAATACCACAGAATACAAAATATAGTTGCTCGAACCTATCTACTACAGACTAACGACCGGTTTCAATATCCAAAAAACAAGTAGTTTTTGTAACGAATCGTAGATTTATCTAAAGACCTCTCTATTCGACAGCTGTTCTTAAATTTTTCTTACCCTCAGCATCTACTGGTCTTTTGGATATTGAAACACGGATATGCCTCGCAGATTAAATAGCATTTTCGATTGTATCACAATTGAGTATAATATTTAGAGAACGACATAATTATTGAAATCGGAACTTCGTTGGCGAGGGTCGATGATTAACTTAATCACTGGGAAGCGGTATTGTTTACCGGTATTATGCGTTAGATTGATGCTGAAATATTTCTCAAAATCCGTTGTTATGCTTGACAGTTTTCAGCGACCAAGTGAAACTTGGGAAAAAATACTTAATTATCCTGTAACTAAAATGTTTAGAACGATGTTAAGATATCCTGTTGAAGATAGAGTATTAGTTACTCGCTTATATATATGAACGCATACAATATATGATTGACATTAATCTGACCCACATATCAACGTAAAATCTTAAGGACAACGTACTTGCAAACCAACAGACCGGTAAACACTAAGTGAACCGCCTGCTCGTTTCTCTCCAATAAATATGTAATCAAATCCAAAATCCAGCCGTAGCTGTCTTATAGGTAATTGTTGTTCCTGCATTTATACTTTCATGCTTTTTTGTAAGAACTGTCTTATATACACTGTAGCTCTGTTCTACTGTCGTTAATGCACGGCGACGACGCCTGAGATCATTCAACTGAAAAAATTGAGTGCACGTTTTATAGCACAGAGCCATACGGTTCTATATTATGTCTATTAAAAATACTTTAATATTGAGTATGATTGTTAATATTCTGAATAATTAAAATAAATCAATCAGTGGCACTACAACCTCTTTAGGTCTTGGCCTCAGATTTCTGAATCTGTTTCATGATCATTTTTAAATCTAATAGGCAAGTAGGTGATCAGCCCCCTGTGCCTGACGCACGCCGTCAACTTTTTGGGTCTAAGACATGTCGGTTTCCTCACGATGTTTTCCTTCACCGTTCGAGCATATGTTAAATGTGCACATAGAAAGAAATTCCATTGGTGCACAGCCGGGGATCGAACCTACCTCCTCGACCTCAGGTATGAGAGTCGCACGCTGAAGCGACTAGGCCAACACTGCTCTATTCTGAATAATACGCATTGAATAATTTTCGTTATCAACGAATGTTAACGAACTATGGCTTATGTACCTACTCGTATCTTTACCGACACATATTTTGCGGGCGGATGTTGCTTAGTACGTAACAATTTTTGGGAAAATTTCGATAAAACTTTACAGTTAATCTATTCTTAGTGAAGTAACCATAGTTCCGATTTATATCGTATTTATCAAAACTACAAATTCTAAAACCTTTTAACCGATTGTGTAGAGTGCACTATTGTGCATCGATTTTATTAAAAACATAATAAAACTTACATTTTTAAATTCGAATGCTATGTCGGAGGTATTTCTTAGAGGAAACTCTAGGGAAATTGTCTTTGTGAAAATTACAACGTATTCTTTTTCTTATTAACTGTTCTATGCAGCTATTTAATTAAATATTCAATAAACTGTAAGGCCATGGTAAATCTTGTATTTATAAAATATACTTACTGTATAGGGCTAAAAGAGTGCATGAATAGATTGTATAAATATTTATGAAATCAATTTCAAAAGCACATTTTAAGTTCAGACGTTTATTTGTTTTGTACAAAAATCTCATTGTTCGTAGTTATTTGTTTTGCGTATATGCGAAATAATAGAAGTATGAAATAATCATATAGGCGAAGGATAGCAAATAAGGAATATAATTTTTATGTCTAGAATTTAGGTTTTTTTCAAGACGCCTCGCTGGTATAGCATTCTAAAAAGTAATAATAAATTACTGTTAATTTCTGAAGGCAATTGGGGTAGTCTGATTGATTGTCCTTGTTTTAGGACAACGTCATCCATCAGCTGGACCTAATCGTCCAATCGATCTCTCTACGGCTCTTAAATTGATTGCACACTCTGAGCAAATAGATCGCTTAATTTAGTTTACAGATTGTATTTAATATAAGGAATTATTAAAGACAATAAACAATATCTAGAATCAATTAAAAACGTAATTAATTGTCATGATGGTTTGGTTTGGATGAAAGATTAAAGTAGTAAAAATGTAGTCCAGTATTTACACAAGGCCGTAATGTAGCAAAAATAACTGAACCATAAAATACAAATTGAACATTAACCACAAAACCAATACACACAAATGTGATTTTAATAGCTCTCCAAAAAATTTAAATTTTCACTATATTTTTCAATGAAAACTTAATTGTCATAATGGCATTGCCCGACACATTTACAATACTCTATTGATTTTGGTTTCTAATGAAAGTAAATAGTATTCCATTTTTAAGATACAAGCAATGTAAAACAAAACTTTGTTGGTTTTATAGCACAATAATTGGCGTTTAGAATTGAATAAAAAAGCAGAATACTCTTTGATTAAAATCACTTTGAAACTGGGCTTTTTTTCTTCTTTTTTTTTAGTTTTCTATTTATCCATTTTTATTTATACTAGTATGTTAAAAACATTGTAAATACTCTATATACTAAATTATGTTTAATTCTTCAAAATTATAGAACAAAATATAGCGCTGCTTGAATAGACTGTATTTCTGAATATGATTTGTTAGAATAAAAACTAGTACATACAAAAACAACTTAAAATTATTATATTATATATTTACGTTATTACAGAATGTTTTATATTAAACATATAATTCAATTTGATAATTTAAGCTACTACCGCGGGCGCTCTTGAGTCGTATGTTAGCAAATGAAGATCCTACTCCTCCCGCCGTAACGGTGGCCAAAGCTTCGGAGTGGTCCAGGTCTCTTGCTATTATTCCCTAACAATAAATATTGCTTGATTTAGTAAAAATTCCTACAGCTATTTATAATAGTAATATTCCTACAGCTAGTGATAATACACATTTACACACTAATATAAAACAAGTTCACAGTTATTATGAAAAATTATACTAAATATTTAAAGGCCCATCATATTAATAATCCAATATTAAAAGCAAGAATAGCTTCATGTTTATGTAATTTTTAAATAAATTTAAGTAGGGTTCTAGAATAACAGTGAGGATCTTTCGTTTTAATCTAATACATTTAAATAATAACTGCATTTAATATAGCTATAAATTAAAGATGCCCTTATATTTGACTTGAAAAAAAATCAATCACTAGTTTCATTTTTTCTATTAAAAACGGTTTTTCTGACCTTCGTGTTTATTAAAATATTGTATTAGTAAATTTTTGCTTTAAAATTATTAAATCTACATCTATTCAATCAATCAACTTACTTTTATTATTTGTTGTCCCGGATCGGAATAGAAGATTTCTTTTACCCTCTTCTTAAACGGTATAGCCATATATTCAGCTTTCTGTTGCCACACCAGCCTTCCATTGTAGCTTGTACCGAGTATCAAATCACCAGCAAAACATGACGATAAAGTCACTAATAGAACAAAACTTAGAAGTAATAAAAATCTCATCGTACCAATCTCTTGTGTCACGTACGAGATGCAAACTACTAAAGAACGTATTGAAGACTTAATATAATATGTATAAATAGTGATTCAGCGGTTTTCTCCCGGTTAATAACAAGAATAGATAACGTCAAGTAAAACAAGTCACACTGATAAGAGAATGATGATAAGGTATTGTCATTTTAATACTGTCGTGTTCAACGTTTTACTCGCTTGAATCGTTTTGTTTTCGTGTTACAGATCTTTTAAATTTAATCATCATTCAATCAATCATTTGTAACCAATAAATTCGTTTCCTTTACACTATACTTTACAGATTAGGTCTCTCTATAGAAATTCCTTGCCACAACTCAACTATTTCGGAAAAAACCTTTTAGAGTCTCTATAAAGTGGAATACGCGTCCTATTTCTATTCAACTAGCTCTATCCGGTCTCGTAAGTAAGCACCTATACGCTGTCCCTTTAGCTGACCCTGTAATAGTCGGATTATAATTGAGATCCTTGAGAATAATTCTCATACACAACTTCTAGGAATTATTCCTAGAAGTTGTGTATACCAATTGAGCAATGATTGTATAAATTCCTACATACAAAAAATAGAACTTGTATTTTATTGCCCGCTCTAAATATTAGAAAAACCGTCGATCTTCTGATGCTTCAATTAACGTAAATTTTCAATCATTTGCCTGAGTTAGAAAACCTGATAATGCCTGGCACTACCATCCAAGTAGGGTATATTTTGTAGTTATTTGAGCAGAGCCTATCCATTAGGTGTATAAGCAGTAACCACGCAATATTAAGATCTAATCAGACGTAACAACTGACACGCAATGCTGAAATTTGGGACGCAGAATTTTTTGGATTCCTTAAGTTTCATATAATTATGTGAATGTTAGGCAGATACATAATCATTAATGCGTCAATGTTAATATAAGAAGGAAACGAAGGAACAAAAAAAATTTTTTATTAGGTTTGATTTTCTCCCAAATGTACGTTTTTTGAGACTAATTGTTTTATATTATAATTGGATGCCACAGATCAAGTATTAAGTACATCTTCAACGGGACAGCCAATGAAAAGTACCCTACTGTAGTACAACGGATATCGTTCAATAAAAATCGTAAAATAAAAAATCCTGTGCCTTTTTTAATAAAAGTAAAAGCTGAGACGTATGGGGTACCCGTTTTTCAAAGAACCGCATTCGTATCTTATTAAATAGAATAAGATACGAATGCGGTTCTTAAATAAAATAAAATACCAGGTCACATGCGTGAAATGAAAGCAATACGTCTCAATAAATATCATACGGATCTTGATTCAGAGACTCAAAACCCAAAGAAATAAAATATAACATATTATAAAGGAAATTACAGAACATCCAGCTGATGCGATGGCATTTCCGGCTAATTAATACATCTACCGATGGTAATATAAGCTAGCATTAATTGTGATTTTTGATTCTTAAGATTAGCTTTTATCTGTTAATATTGTTACTTGTAATTTTATTTTCGTTACTTTAGTGAAGCACTTTTTGCACTTTACCCTTAGTATTTCTTTTTTTCTTTCTCGTTACTAGGGTTGCCTGAAAGAGATGATAGCTTGTTAGCGATAAAGCCGACCGTTGCTTCCTTAATAATTTATGTTACCAGCTTCTATATTCTAATGCAAAGTGTTAATAAATAAAATATATAATACCTACCCCATTATTATACCTAGGGCTTTTGCTTAACATAACAAATAAATCTTGACCAATCTTGATATTATGGAAGATACTTAATACTCTCATCCCAAAGATCGTAGGTTCAAACCAGGGCTGTGTACCAATGGACTCGAAAGGACGCAAAACGAGTCGACGGCGTGTGTCGGGCACAGAAAGCTAATCACCTACTTGTCTGTTATATAAAACAAATGATTACGTAACAGCTACAGAAATCTGAAGCTCAGACCAAAGAGGTTGTAGCGTTACTTGTTTTTTTTGTGGTATATAATATAAAAGGTACATTGGATGTGCAAAAAGTATGTGAGTTTAATATGAGTTAGATGTTAAGTTTTCGAATGAGGTATCTAACAATGGTATTGCAATTCTAATATACAGTATTGAAATACCTATAAAATTGTAACATAAAAGCAGTATAAAAGTACCATTTAAAGCTGCTTTCATGTTCTAAATTCAAAAGTGCTTCCTACAACTAGCGATCTAAATGTACTAGTAACGTCATATACACGAAAGCATAAGTGCACGGTCTTGTCGATATCTGGAACTTTGGCTCGTGAGCAATCTGTTTACGTAACAGCCGTTATGCCGAAGAGGGTTTCCGTAGTAGACGTTAAACATATTGCCTCATAAATCGTAAGAATCCCAGCCAGCTATACATCTGTAACGGTGTCGATTTGACTACGTTTTCTTTACGATTCCACGATTGCGCTGTTTAGATTCAATATAGATGGTAATGTGTACTTGTTGATTTTATTGCCAATGCCCTGATTTTGTAATTAAATATTACAAATCGGATAAGTGTTCTCCACTTACGAATAGTTCGTTATATTTTACGTTGTAATGTTTAACTACATATTACACAGTACCTTCGTTTAATACAAAACAACTTTATAAATATAAATAACCTAGTTTTTCAATATGTTCTTTGTAGAATAGTTATCCGTTGTCCCGGTTTCTTTAAAAAACTTTAGAATATCCCATCTGCAAACGATGTTGGAAATATAAGAACTCTATTTACTTTTTATATTGCTTCTAACGTACATAAACAAACATTTAATTGACGATTACATTAAGCTAAAATAAGAGAGAGAGAGAAACCAACTCAAGTTTTTCCGAATGACATTCTATTGCATAAATCCGCACACGGGTGTCCGTCCTTGTATTTAATTAAATTAATAGTATATTAAAGAAAAATCTTTCAATTGATTTGGAGAAATAACACCTACTCGCACGATAAAGGAAAACTTTTTGAGGAAATTGATATATTTGTGATCGAACACCTTCGACGAACACAGGGCCACCAAACGGCAATGTATCAATGAAGAACATAGAGAGATAGAGATATCATATACATGAATTAACAAGAAGAACCAAAATATAAATGGTCTAATGCAGTAAAAGTAGGTTAAATACAGTTTCATAACTTTATTGAAGATTAGATACGAATATAACGGGTGCTCATCGCACGCGTTACAAATGTTGCAAAATTGCTTTTGTTGCTCGATAAATTAGAAATACTTGAGGGGCAGCGGAGAAGTTTTCTTTTGTTCAAATTCTGGGAGATGTTTTTATTTTCACAACGTAACTTTATTTTCCATATTAAACAAAAAAATCGTAATAATTCTACAATAATCTTTGTAGATTAATAGTGAAATTGTTCGCTTCGTTAATTAATTACCCCATAATAATTTTCTTTATTAGTTCTGGCCCAGATACTAGCCACCATAATGAACAAACCTGTTTTCACAAATTGTGTTAGTTTATATAACTTAATTGATGATTAGATACGAATATAACGTCCCCAAACATAACAATCCTTTCATTCTCCTTTAGACACTCCCAATATTTCTCTGACACTTTCCCAAGACCCTTCTATCTCTTATTTATAAAGGTATAAAATGTTTTTCAAGACCTACGCCGTAGAATTAGGTCCCAAGTAAAAAATAGAGGTATATTGCTTACTTGTTTACTTATATGGAATTTTAGGTTCATCTATGAAACTTCGCTGACTGGGCTAATTGTGACCAGAGAAAACAAATCTCATTAAAAATTTTAATTCCTAAAATTTTAATTTATACTTTTTGTCTAACTTTTATCGTTTTGCGAGTATTTGCGAAGAAACACTTTTATCCAACCATTGCCGGGGGATGCTGGCACTGAAACCTTTAAGCCGGAAGTACATTACGAAATTATTGGCATGCATGGGAATTCAGTTTCACGAAAGTAGTTTGGATATATGCGAAATTTGTAAAATAATTACTGTCGTGAAATCCTCAGTATCGCAGTAACGATGGCCCCATTAGCATCAAAGCTTTATTTTTCTATATTCAATGTAGCTAAAGAGATGCTTCTCTATAAACATAAAATGCTGCGTTTTTTAGCAAGTAGAAATAATTTTAAGTCTTTATCATAAAAATTCAGGGTGGCATCATGTATTAGCATCAAGATACAAACTTCCGCATAGCACAGGCACTTTCGCGACACTAGTTTCACGTCGCATCAAAAAATCGCGCAGGGCACGGAACTCATTTGCATGACGAAAATATTGAATTACACGTGAACAACTGTTGGTAAAAATATTGTCACGAAATTAATTTCAGGCCACTAATTTCGTAATGTAACTCCGGCTTTACACATTGATTTGTATCACTAAAACTACATTATATAAAATGCAACGTTGAGTGCCGAAATTATGATTTAAAAACGTACGTTTAATAGACTTGACGGGACTATTTAATATAATTTTAGGTTTTTAAGTCCCAAGATCATGTCCGCTATAGACACTAACTCTCTCTAAGTCTGGCCATAAATACTGTTACATAAAAACTTTTATTTATTTCAACTTTTTAATTACATATTTTGAATTTGGAACACAAAAATAATATTTTAGAACTTCTTTCGGTTTTGCGCCATTTCACATATTTTTTCGTGTGCATTATCAAATTACAATACGGAATGGGGTGTTAAAGAAAATAGGATTGTAGTGATCGCCTTGCACAAAGTGCGTATGGAGCCGTCGGTCATATTCCAGGCACTTCAAAAGCTTGGTATCAGCCGTATATTCGTATATCGTACTATCAACAGATACAACAACACTTCGTCTGTCGAAATCAGGGCGGCAGCGTGCTGTTAGAACTACAAAGGCTGTTAATGCTGTTAAAGCCTGAATTCGTCGAAATCCCATTAGGAAGCAAAAATTCTTATCGTGAGAAATGAAGATTCCCGCTAGGACTTTGACGCGTATTATAAAACGAGACCTGAAGCTCGGTGCTTATCGTCGACAGTCATA